CCTGTATCTGAACTGTAAATCATGTAATTGTATGGCTCGATACTGTATGTTACCATAGACATTGTCCAACCCCACTCATACCGTGTTCATTTTACTTGTGCAGCTCTTAAAATGGGTCATAAATGGCCTAAATTGTATTTTTTTTTTAATTCTGCAGATACCCTGTAAATAGTGAAATAAAATTCCTTCCTTCATATTTGTTGATATTTGTGTATTGAAAATATTTTTGATTGACATTTAAACTCCCATCTGATTTTTTATATTTAAAAAAAAAATGACTTTTTTTACTTGGGCTAGTTAAATAAATTTTCGGGCGACCAAAATCTGAAGAGTACCTGCCCGAAGGGCTACCAGGGATTTTGAAATTTCACGAGCACACACACACCCCCCAAACAGTATAAATATGAGAAATATCCATGCAATGTCCATATAGCCCATACACTATTTTAGTAGAACAGAATAATAAAAAATGTAGACCTGGAAACATCTACTTTTGTAATCAGTAATCAGGATGTAAATGTTATATTAAATCATTCTGTAATAGCTTTCATAACATAGTTGAGAAACTATGTGCAAATGTTTAGTAGAAGTTTAAATTTCTGTGTCAAAGTGATGAAAAACACTCATTTAGATTAAACACAGCTAATTAATACATACACTAGTGTGCATACATAAATATGAAATATAAACATCTTTCAATATATAATCAGTCGAGAAGGCTGTAAAGAAAATGAGTACAAAACCAATTTTGTTTTAATTTTTGTCATTAGTCTCTTGAAACAGTCATATATTTGTCCAAACACTATAAATGTCATGAGAAAAAAAAAAACACTTTAAATTCCAAATGCTTTTTTTTTGGGTCCCATGAGGATAACATGAACAAATCCAATACAGATGAAATACAAGCAAGTCCAAGACTTTTAATGTCAGCTCAGTTCAGATCATCTCATGTTGCTTATAGGACCAACCGCTCCACTGCAACTGCAGCAACACTAAACAAAAGGCTTCGTCAACACGATGCAATAATCTGAAGAAAAACAAGATCTCACTTGTTTAAGATTTAGCCTAACATTTGTTCAGGAAAAATAAACGACAA